GTTCGGGTTGGTTTGTCAACGCAGATCACGAATCTTATCTTGGAAATCTGGTGTTTGGTCACCGAAACCAAGCAAGGCTGACCTTTTTGACATCCGAAACCCTTTTGACTGAACTCCAGACTTGAGTGTTGGCATAGATTTTTAATTGCATATATACGCAGTGCAAAAGCTGAACTACCAACTGCAATCAAAGGTGGATAGAACGAACTGACAGAGTGAATACCCCGCTGGAATTGATTTAAATATAGCCTCTGAAGGCAAGATGATACCGTGGAAACGGACTTGTGACTTGACTTTTGCTATAATTCAACAGAATGGACTCCCTAGAGTCGAGCTCCAAGTCTTTCATCCAAATCTGGGAGTTCTTGGAGCCCCCCTGGATGGAAAAAAATTATTTTTTGTTTCTTCATCCATTTCCAACCCGTCGACATGGAAGTGACCTGCCCACATATTCCCAACACCTGCCCTCCCAGCAACGGGCTGTAAAGTTTAGACCTGGAACTCCAGTCCATTTAGACCAGCCCTGTGCCACTGGGAAGACACACAAAGCTGAGCATACCAGGTCATTTTGCAAAGGTCACCCAGTCAATCTGTTGGTGGGTTGCTATATGTAGTTGCCGTGTTTGAGATAGAGGTTCTGCGTGTTTAAGCCCCAAAAAAGGAGGTAGAGATAGGTATATAGATGCCCAGTGGTGGCCGTTCGCCCGACCCACCACCTACCTCACTCTTGGTGAGTATCCCTAAGGACCTCGCAAGCGGCTCGCCCCGCAAAGGCCAAGAAGTCGTGGTTCTTGTTCGCCCGGGAAGTTTTGGAAAAACGTCCCAGCGCTTGGTGCTCGCATGTTTTTCTTTGAAGGTGTCTTTTCGGAAATCCCTTTGGGTGATTCTACCTTTGCCACCAAACCATGGAAGGCGGACATCTTGTATAAAGGAATCCGCGTATTTTCGGAACACCTTAGGGCGAGAAAATTCGGTCATCGACTAGCCTGGTTCTGCAGCACCTAGCAGTGCTACCCTGGTAGAAGGAGACTCTGAAATTTCACGGTGCCTGAACTACAATAAAGAGTGGCAACATGCGTCAGCACTGAAGTTGCTCATCAGTTGGGTTTAGGGTTTGTTGAGATTTTGTTTGCCCATCTCAGCACGAGGGTTCGCACTCCAATTCCGTCTCCTTTTTCTCCTTGCGGCATGCTTGCGGCATGTTTGTGCACGACGGGTTGGAACCTTCATAGCATGAAAACTCACCTTTGAACCGGTAACAGGACTTGGTCAAGCTTACACCCGCAATCCGAAAAGACGCATGGATCATGATTGTGAACGTGGAAAGGTCAGATATGCCACTGCTAATGATGCCTCCACACCATTGGACTTTGAGGATCGCACCCGAATCTGCCAACTCTTCTGCAGAATTGTCTGCCTTTTTGATCCACCAAACCGGCCCAACGGCGGACATTCGGCAGAAGAGTAGATCCCAACGATCTTTGCTTCAGCAACCGCCCGTAATTGGCTGCGGCTGCGTCCACCGGCGTGGCTTTGCTTCGGCCCTCTCGGCGCCCTGGCGCTTCCCGTTCGTTCACCCAAGTCCATGTCGCCGGATCGGCTGAAGCCCTCGACGTACCCAGACGCACGACCCTGGGCCCTCATATGCAGGGGTCGGACCATCAGATGGAGGGGTCTGGGGTCGAACCAATCCCTACGGTTTTGAGGGACCAGTCGGGCTGTGTAGGGTCGCGTCTGGGTAGATAACATACCCAGACACGACGAGTCTGTGACTGCCAGGACGGACTGTCGCCCCAGAAAGACCCCGACTTCTCGGCAGTCCGGACTGGCAGTCGCACGGAATGTTGGGGATATGATGCAGATCGATCTAAATGCCCTTGTTCGTATATAGGCTTTAACACTTTCAGTATGTAGGCTCCATGGGGCAAAGATCTAAAAGATAAATCATGATAAATCCATGGAACCTATGGATGAACTTGGCCATCCCACCCGTCTGTGATGAACTTGGCTGATGGATTTCGTATACAAGAGAGGGTGCGCTTTGCACACCGTTCCGCATGGTTGCAATGTGACGGGAACTCATCGTTGCACACCCTGCATGATATTGAGTCCTGAATTGAATGTTATATCTCTTCAGGGCTGTACCTGCTTTAGCTGTCCTGTTTCAGCGGAAGATGTGACTAAACAAACAAAAGACATGTGCAAAAGGGAATCCCCTCCCCAAACCTCTCATCGAAACCTGCGGTAGCCCGGTAGAACTCCCCAGCACCTTTGGCGGTGTCCATTTTGTTGTTGACATATATATATATATATATTTATAGATCTATTTAGACCAAAAGCAGGCCCTCCATTTTGACTTGCATTTTTGGGCTTTGGGTGAATTTCAAGGGTCACTGCAAGCAAATACGACATACCAGGGGTCACATACAGTAGGGGTGCTTACTTAATGGAGGTAGTCAGGGTGCCCCTGTCACATCCACTCACGTAAGGGGACGAGCCACACCACCCCGAGCTCTGTGAGGGAATGTTCCGACCCGGCCAGCTCAGCCGTCAGGTCGCCCTGATCGTTTGGAAGGCGCTGTGCAATCTCAATGCTCGCGCTGCCACTTGGGCCGAAGGCTGGCGACAGCTGGCAACACCCTCCCTTCTTCACACCTTCCGTGTGAAAACATCTTGTGTTCGTCTTCATGCATTTGCAAATGCAGTTTTAATAAGATATCAGATGTATGTTGCATTATTTTTTCTAGATTCTAGATTCTATAGCTATGTGAAAATCAATTATACTGTAAACTAATATATACTGTCTATATATATATGTACAAATATATGTATATATTATGAAATAAGGTGTGCAATATAAGTGTTTGGCCACTGTTCTGCAGTTGGCACTTCTATTGGAGAACTTATTACGAACCATATCAGGAGAAAATCGAGGCTGGCAAAGCCGAGTAGTGTGCAGTCAAGAGTCCTTGATGTCTTGGATGCAACTGTGTGTTTCTTCAAGACACCCAGTCGAATGATTCCTCAACAGCCACGTGCACGTCCGGTGCACGAAATCTGGTGCAAATGGGTTTCTTGACTGGCCAAGGTGTACGAATTCGAAGTCTCTTCCAATTTGGAGATCCCCTCGGCTTTCGGATGGTTTTTTCGTATATATGTTCTTTCTTGGGGGGGGTCCGAACGCCCAAACGCCCCGAACGCCCCTTTGAGCCGATCTACGGTCGTGTTCACGTCTTCGCAACGGTCGTTTGGTCGCGGTTCGGACCAGAGAGACGGTGGTAGGGGCATGGAGTTGGTCTGCAGTCATGTAGACTCTTATGAGGGATATTTCACCCCTCCATCATGAATAGGACTTCCAGTTCTTATGAGGATATTTCGGGTTTAGGGTTTCACCCCAGTATCATGAAGAGGACGTCCAGTTCGGTGGGTGAAAGATCAATGAGTCTACATTCGTTTCTACTGGGTTCATGTCTGGGTCGTTTCACTGCAGTCTCGCAGCTCGCAGCTCGCAGTCAGCTCGAGCGAGAGAGGCGAGGTCGAGCGAGCTCGAAAGGGAAAACAACACAAACAAGGGAGTGCCAGGCAGGTATGAAGCCACTGATCATTATATAATCCCAGACACTCCATGGGACTGCCAGAGGACTGCCGCCCCATTGACCCCCCAAACCACCACCCCAATGTAGGCATATATATATATATGTATGGCATACATGGAGTGTCTGGAAATCTTAATTCTTATAATCTTCATATATCTTCACATGCTTTGAGATGAATAAACATGAATAAACTAAATCCTGTGCCTTGCTCTGATGATCTATCCCAGACCATCCATGTATGGAATATGTTACCTACAGAAAATCCTTTTTTATCCATTCAGTCCCATGAATGGTCACTTGTCTTCGTCCCATGAATGGTTTGAGTATGATCTTATCCAACCTTCCCCCACCTCATCCAAGCTCCGACTTCATCCGATCCTAGGTCCGGCGAACCCAGCGGAAGAACTTGCAGGACTCCCTCACGCGTGTGGCCACGCACTCCACGCCGCTGGGGCTGAACTGCGGAGACGCGTCGAGTGTATAATCCGGTCCACCTAATAAAAAACACGGGCCCCCCCCCCCCCTAATAAGGAAACCTCGGTCGCATTTTTTCTAATAGGGGGTCCCTGAAATCGGGGGGCCCAAAATAGGGTCACCTGGAAAGAGTTTCAAAACCAAAAAGTAATCCAGGTAAATTTTATATAAAATCCTTTATTAAACTCATATCAAAAATGCAAAAAACCGCCAGATCGAAGGGTCTTCCTTTTCCCCTACAAAAACCTTCATTAGAATAGTGATTCTTCAGTAGACTAACAGCTAAAGCTTTCGAAAGGTGATGTCGCTGTGCCATGCGGTGTTGCATGACCTCGGTGGCAAGTGCGTTTGCGTGAGTCCGTGCCATTGAGGGAAGGAAAGCCTGCTGGTGTAAGCGCGGCGTGTCATGGTGGAGTTTTGGGGAACCTAATTAAAAAAACTACCCCCAAAATCGACCATGTTAGTAGTTTAGTAGCGGTTTGAAAGGGCGGCAATTTAAAACCAAATATAAACCGAATTTAGGGGATCCGGCATGACTTTTTTTAAATTGGGGTCCGTTTTTTAATAGGTACTCGGGATTAAATAGAAAAAGAAATCCGACATTCAGGGGCTCGAAGTACTCCCCTTGTGAAATCGGAGGTGACAGGTCGATGGGTCAGAATTGGATGGAACCCACGAACCCAAATGCAAACACGCACTCGAATACAAACAGCTAACCATTTCTTGACACTCTTGTGTGGGACACTCTTGTCAGACACTCTTGTCGAAAACTGTTCTGTGCACTCTCGTGCGGCACTCTTGTGGAACACTCTTGCGGGTCACTCTGGTGGGACACTCTCGTGGGATGCTTTTGTGGAAAGCTTGTGGGGCACTCTTGCGGCTGCCTTTTTCACCACTTGTCAAGGACTCCAATCACCATTGCTCCAGGGTATGTTTGTTGTACTTGCAACTTACCACGACGATTTGGAAGTGCCGGCAGGGGTGGTCATTATGAGAAAGGAGAGATTCCAGGAGCTTCGCAACAAGGGCGTGAGCCTCCCTCACCTTGCAGACTACATCCGGCTGCGTATGATGCAGGGAGATGGCGGTTGGCTGCTTGACGTCAATGTCTTGTGGTTGAGGCCACCGCCAAAGCAGACTGAAGAGCTCAACTTCCACATGTTCTCTTCCTTGCGTGCGAGACCGGGTAGCACGTGGCAGGGCAAGCTGGCTGAGTTTCGTAAGTGGTCGACTCAGTACCTCGCAATGCCTGGTGACGAGTTGTTTGTTGCGACGCCTTTCTATGCTCCAGCCTCTTCGCTTTGGCCGGCAGAACTGGTGCGCAAAATGGAGCTTCACTTCAACGATTCCGGTTCCTTGGCTTTCAAATGCTGTCTACCTTGCAGGAACCACGCCCCTCTTACGCGGGGGGTTTGAATCTCGCATTAGAAGAGCGATTGCTTGTGATTAATATCTAGTTTAGGTGAGACAAACTGAATCTCAAAATCTCTTTATGGGGAGAGATCCCCAAGATGGGATCTGTTCTAGGAACTGGCTAACTTAATTGGACCAGATGAAGCTGAGGCTTCGGCGACTACAATGGGATCATGCAGCTTTCGCAGGAGCTACTCTCAAAGCACGGGCTGGAACAGTCGGTTTCGCCGTGGAGTGCCTTCTGCCCGCTTCACTACTGGTCTAGCAGTCCGTTGAAAAAGCGGAAGGAGAGTGAGGGGGAGGCGACGCGCATCCTGGAGGACCCGGCCACCTTTGGAGTGGCAGCCTTCTGGCAAAGCATCAGGACCGAAAAGTCCCAGTTCCAAGTTGCAGAGCAGGGCTCCACCTGGCGCTTCTTGTGACTTCATTGGTCAAAGCCATGTATGTTTGTTCCTCTATGTTTCTGGTATTTGATGTTGGACATTTGTAGGACACTCTTGTGGGAGACACTCTAGCGGGACAATTGTAGGAGACACTCTTTTGTGGGACACTCTTATGGGACACACTTGTGGGCACTCTTGTGGGACACTCTTGCGGTAGACCCTGCTGTTCCGGGCTCACCAATACTCCGCCGGCACTACAACCTCCCAATCGGCCAAGTGCTCCGCCAATCCGTGTTCCGCCGATTGCGAGCCTGAACCCTCGGTTCGGAGCCATGCTCGGAAAACGGAGCATCGTAGGAAACGGAGCATCGCTCGGAACCGTAACTCTTGAAGTAGAGCCGTCAATGGAAGAGTCCCGCCTATGGGGCCTCGTGTGCAATTGAATGTGATGATGAATGTGATGAGCAATCTATTCTCCGACTCGTGGAGGTTGCGGGCTTGGCTATTCAGCCAGGTGCAAAAGGTCGGGACGATAATTTGTTGCATAAAGAAAATCCCAAAAGAAAAAACGAAAAGACCCCAAAAAAGATTCAAATATCAGAATTGATTGCACTGTGCAAAGATCCAGAGGCTTGACCCTCTGCGACGAAGTAAGAGTTTGTCTCCTACAGGCCAGGGGCGGCCTCAAAGGCTTGGTTGGCTGGCTTGGGTTTTCTGCTGGCTGACGCTGTTGCCTCTGACCGCTGATGCTGTCACTGTTAATTCACTTACCGGCCCTTTGGGCCCCCTTACTAATCGGAGCGTGCAGCCATGGCCGTCACAGACGCTGATTTGGGAAGCTTCTGCGGCGGACTGGGCTACCTTCTCTGACCAATCTGCTTTCCGTCAGCTGCGTCACCTCGTCGCCGCTGCTGACCTATGCTGCTGGGACCTGCAGCACTAGGTTCTTCTCGCGTTGGAAAATCTGCATCAACTTGCTGCAGCGGCAAGTTGATGATGATGATGATGATGATGAATGTGATGACAGGGATGAATGTGATGAACTCACAACTTAGCAGTTCAGGCCTTGTATGTGAACTGATTGTGAAATGAGTATGTTTGTGTAGGCTGCCTGTATGACAGCAATCATATTACATGTGGCGGGAGGTGGGTTGGATGGGAGCAGCAAATGTACAACCCAGTTACCATGTGTGAAGTGATTCTAAAACGGCACTACGGCTGTGTACATGGCCTGGTGGGAGGTGGGATTGGAACAGCAATTTACAACCTATTTGATAGAAACGTCAACATGGCAGTATGTTTGTGTAGACTGCCTGATTCTGCCTGTTTGACACCAGTCATATTACATGTGGTGGGAGGTGGGATGGGAACAGCAAATTTACAGCCTAGCTACTTTCGTGGCAGGTGCAGCACTTTGTGAACCTCGAAGTGTAGATTGCGTGGCAGGCGCAGCGCTTTGCGAACCTCGAGCTGCAGATTTCGTGGCTGGTGCAGCACTTTGTGAACCTCGAAGGGCAGATTTCGTGGCAGGCATAGGACTTTGTGAACCTCGAAGTGCAGCTTTCGTGGCAGGCACAGCACTTTGTGAACCTCGAAGTGCAGATTTCGCTCGAATTGCATGGCAGGCGCAGCACTTTGTGAACCTCGAGGAGCAGATTTCGTGGCAGGCGCAGCACTTTGTGAACCTCAGAGCGCAGATTTCGTGGCAGGCGCACTCTCACTCTCACTCTCACTCACTCTCTCTCTCTCTCACTCTCTCACTCTCATTACGCTCACTCTCACTCTCGCTCACACTCACCTTTCACTCACACTCACTCCCACTATCTCCCACTCACACTCACTCTCACTCACACTCACTCTCACAGACACACACTCTCCCACTCCCACTCCCACTCTCCACTCCCCACTCCCACTCTCACTCTCACTCTCACTCACACTCACCTCTCTCGCTCACACTCGCACTCACACTCACTCACCACCGCCGCCACCATCACCACGATCTCCACCTTCATCACCACCATCACCTCTGGACTTTCTGCTGCTACACCTCCATGCCTCACACACTCTGACATTGGTTTTCTGTTAACTCAGTTCCCAAGCTGAGAAGGAAGGTGAGGGAACCGCAAGGTGAAAAGGTCCGCGCACTTGTATTGTCTGAACAATCTGTTGACAGGTCTGCGGTGGCGAGCATCTGCACGACTCAGCTGCATGAGAAACCTGCTTTGGGGAACAGTATCGTGAAAGAACCATGAAACAAAACGCGGAAAGTGGTGTCACAGCTTGTTCAAAAGTTCAATCCATCGCAGGTACAAGAGTTGGCGTCCCAACTCTCCTCCAACTGATTTCGGTAGCTTCCTTGGAACGGATGGGAAATCAGTTTCCGTGCCCCCTGCTTGAAAAATGAATCCGATGTGAAAAGCCCTTAGGAACAGGGTTTGACACACACACGGTGCCGCTTTGTGGCGCTCGTGCGAAAGACCTGAATAGTTACCTAAAAAGCCTTAGAAACAAAAGAAAGAAACGCAGAAAGAGCAGCGCTAAGAGGGCAAGGGAGAAAGGTAGGAGTAGAAAAAAGTGAATACTTAGCCCTTGACTGGGGTAGGGAAATGAGCCTCAAGAGCAACCTAAAAAGCCTGAGAGAAAGTCCAAGAAACGACCAAAAGCGCAAGAAAGAAAGTGGGGGGGCAGGGAGGTGTATGTACATGTGTGTGTCCGTGTGTGTGTATGAATACTTAGCACTCCAGAATTACTGATTACTTAGCGGAAATGAATTACATGCAATAGTTAGGGAGCGGGACTTTAGTCTTAGACCGCCCGGGTAGAGAAGACTAGAAAAGGGACAACAGAGGGAAAGGCACCGACACACAAGTGTGTCGAGTACCGTTTCCCTCTGTTACCCTAATTAGTGGGTGGGAGGGGTTGGGGTGTTTGGGGTAGAAACCGTGTCGGGGTTCATTCTCCGTACAAGCCCGGCGGCTCGAAAGGCAGTTGATCCAGTGGTGAAAAGGAGTCAGTTAAGAAAATCCAAGGAATGAAAGACCCGAAAATCTGTTACACGATTTCCAGCATGGCTTCAGCGCCCCAGTGACGGGGATCACACCCAGCAATGAAGTGGGACGGCTGAGCGGTTCACACTCTGACATTGGTTTTCTGTTAACTCAGTTCCCAAGCTGAGAAGGAAGGTGAGGGAACTGCAAGGTGAAAAGGTCCGCGCACTTGTATTGTTTGAACAATCTGTTGACAGGTCTGCGGTGGCGAGCATCTGCACGACTCAGCTGCATGAGAAACCTGCTTTGGGGAACAGTATCGTGAAAGAACCATGAAACAAAACGCGGAAAGTGGTGTCACAGCTTGTTCAAAAGTTCAATCCATCGCAGGTACAAGAGTTGGCGTCCCAACTCTCCTCCAACTGATTTCGGTAGCTTCCTTGGCACGGATGGGAAATCAGTTTCCGTGCCCCCTGCTTGAAAAATGAATCCGATGTGAAAAGCCCTTAGGAACAGGGTTTGACACACAGACACACACTGTTTGGGGCCTCTTGCCGGGATAGTTTTCAAAGGCGCTGGAAGGTCATCGTGTTTTTAGCGAATGGTCCGGAGTCCGCTTGTCCGTTTTTTTCTTTCGGGCTTTGAGGCATAGGGGTTTGAGGCATCGTTTGGGTGGTGGTTTTCAACGCTGGTTATTATATGTTATTATGATGTTATGTTCAACTGACTATGTTGGGTTGTTTTGTTGGGTGGTCTCCTTGGTCTCAGAATCTCATCCGCGGAGTGTTGTTTTGTTATGGGGCGCATCCACCTCCAAATGTTATCAGACAACAGATATTTCAAGCGGTGGGGGCCATTGTTCTTGGGATCGCTTCTCGGCCGGCTATGCCATATATATACCCTATCCTTTGAAATCGTTTGCCAATGATATTTGATCCCAAATTCTGCACCTCAGGGTGAAGAAGGTCCTGTCCACCGTGGCGCAATGGGAACGTCATGCCACACGCAACTGCGTTTGGCGGATGAAGTGCCTTTGGCCGATTTGATGCGGAGCCGCGCAGCTGGATGTATAGCACCATGAAAAGCAATGCTTTGGGGCAAAGAGAGGCCACGCCAATGCAATGTCTTTGGGTGGAACGGCTGATGCACAGCTAGACTTAGAGAGAAAGAGAGAAAAAACAAGTCTTATCAAGTCTTTGGATCATGAAGTCATTCGCTTGTCATGCTTCCACAGGGTCCCCGGTCGATCCTTTCGACGCGTGGTAGCTCGTGGTGGAATCGGCGCTTCAGCGCCTCACTCCTGGTGACCCATGAGCCACTTGCAACGTCTCGAGCTAACTCTTCAATGCAGGTGTCAAGTCCACGTAGCCACCGAAATTGGACAGAAGTCCATGGTAGTAGATGGTCAGAGGTTGATCAACTCGCCCAAGTGGAAACCAGGCCCCTGCCTTCCTCAATCTGGAAGGTTTCGACGTCGAGGATCAGTCTCCGGTTCAGATCTTCGGGTCGTCGGTGATTTGGGAGTGTCCCGAACTGGTTTAAACCTGAACATCTCCTGACCTGGAGAAGATGCTCGATTGGGCTACTTGCGGTTCCTGTTACTCTGCAAGACTCCGAATCGATGTCTCTGAGGGGCTTCAATGCCAAGAAGAGCGACGCTGATTTGGGCTTGGGTTGGTGGGAGCTGCCCGAGTTCGAGAACTACCAGGCGAGAGGGAGTCTCCACGATTCCTCCGCGCCGACTCCGCGCGTTTCTCATAGAATCGGTGCGTGCGTCCCTTTTGGCGCCATGCACTGGGTTTGGATTCTCAATGGCTATAAGAGAGAAATCGATACATAACGTCCTAAACACATGATGAGAGAATGAACATTGAGATGCGGGTTGGGGGTTTCCCCCTGTTTGTGCCAACAATCCAAAGAAATTCCAAGAACAAATAGAAGTTGTTAGCACAATTGGCTTCCAACTCCACGTCTCATGGACAGTGGTGGCCTTTATTCCACGCGGACCGCTTCGTCGCTAGTGAGGTGGGCGTGGCAGATGCCACAGCAGCC